GGGGGGGGGAGGGGCCTCTGATCTCTCTGGGGAGACATGTCTCACTTAGTTACTTGTTCTTCAAAGTTGTAGACAAGCAACCCATGATACTGAAATGGCGGATTCTTTCTGCCACCAACGACTTGGACCGGGTTTCGGCCGTGGCTCTGCCGAAGTTGCCGATCTCCCTGACCAATACTGATCTGAAGGTGGCGAATGACACCAAGTTCTTCCCTGGGTTGGGTAAGGAGTTTCTGTTGTCTTTCTCCTAAATATGTAGCTTTTGCCTGAAACGGTACCTTCTTCACCTTCTGAACTGTAGCGGGAGTCAGAAGGTGGGACAAACCATGTGAAGTGCTGACAGGAACACTGACAAAGACAGGGTGTCCTCCTAGCCGTCCCGTTCCACTTCCCTGGGAAGAGGCGCGAAGCGCTGTCGTGGCCTCAGGACGGAAGAGGGCTGCGAGCTCGCGGCTTTCCCGGTGCCGTCTCGTTGCCCCGTGGGCTTCGGGGGCGGCCACTTCTCTGGGCGAGGTCCGTGTGCTGCCGGGAGGAGTCGCTTGCTCAGCCTCGGTTCTCTTCTCCCCCCAGGGCTGGCTTTGGCTTTTCACGACGGCAGCGTCCACATCGTTCACCGCCTGTCCTTGCAGATGATGGCCGTCTTCTACGGCTCCTCCTCCCAGCGCCCCGTGGACGAGCAGACCATCAAAAGGCAGCGGACTGCCGGGCCCCTGGTTTACTTCAAAGCCATGCAGCTCTCCTGGACGTCTCTGGCCTTGGCCGGCATCGACAGTCACGGGAAGGTATTGCCTCCCCGGTACGGGGGCGGGGGTGCGAGTCGTTCCCATCCAGGCTCTCTCCCGGTGGCGGTGGGTGGCTCAGGAAAACGCCAGCGGTGTTACTTCCAGCGGTGTGGTCTGGGTTAAGCAGAAGAGCTGTGTCCCGTGGGCACCCGGGCGCTGTCCTTGGGTCAGGAACGAGCTGCCGTCGGCCCCGAGTTGTGTGGGAGCTTTGTGGAGCGTTTCCAGCCGGTTCGTGACGCGGGTTTTCCTTCGCCTCCCCCTTCAGCTGAGCATGCTCCGCATCTCCCCCTCCATGGGCCACGTGCTGGACATGAACATGTCCCTCCGCCACTTGCTGTTCCTGTTGGAGTATTGCATGGTGACCGGCTACGACTGGTGGGACATCCTGCTCCACGTCCAGCCCAACATGGTGCAGAACCTGGTGGAGAAGCTGCACGAGGAGTACATGCGCCAGAACGCGGCCCTGCAGCAGGTCAGCGGGAGCTCCCCGGCTGGCTCCGGGGGGGTCTCCGTGACCGGGAGGAGCGGGGGGGCAGTTGCCAGGGCTCAGAAGCCGGACGGCTCTGCCTGCCTGGCTGCGCCGCCTCCGGGGGCTCCGCTGGGGCAGGCTGGGGGGGTGCGGAGCCTCCGCTTAAGCGTGTTCGTTGTCGCTGACGTTAACGCGTCTTTACCGGCTGGAGGCTCCTGGTGCGAGGGTACGGTCTGGTTTTGGCAGGGAACAGTAGCGCCGTTTGTACACGCACAGAGCAGCGTTCCCCTGCACCCACAGCACCCCCTGTTCCTGTCGTTCAGGTGGCAGAAACGGAGCGCAGAGAACAAAGCAGCTCGCTTTGATGGGCTCGTTCTGATTCTGCCTTTACTCCTCCGTTTTTCCCGGCGTCTCTCTGTCCGTCAGGTCCTCTCCACGCGCATCGTCGCCATGAAGGCGTCTCTCTGCAAGCTCTCCTCCAGCACCATCGCCCGCGTGTGCGACTACCACGCGAAGCTGTTCCTGATCGCCATCAGCTGCACCCTGAAGTCGCTGCTGCGCCCCCACTTCCTGAACACCCCGGACAAGAGTCCCGGGGACCGACTCACCGAGATCTGCTCCAAGATCACGGATATAGGTAGCGATTGCTCCTAACATCCTGCGCTGCATTCGGAGGGGTTTGTGGCAGATCGTTCCCCTTTTAGGTTCGTCAGAAGGCGTCACGGTCTCATAGAAGCCCCCTGGGTTTGAGGAAGGGGAGGGCGACCCCTCTTGGCACCGCAGGGACGGTGGGGGGAAGTTCGGATCCATCTTCCCGAGCCAGGAGATGTCTCGCTTCTCTTTCAGACATTGACAAGGTGATGATTAACCTGAAGACAGAAGAATTTGTCCTGGAGATGACCACGTTGCAGTCCCTGCAGCAGCTCATCCAGTGGGTGGGAGATTTTGTGCTCTACCTGCTGGCCAGCCTTCCCAACCAGGTGAGAGCCGGGATCCTGAGAGGAGCGAACAAATCCGTGTGCAGGGTTCGGGCAGCTTCAGCCGAGTCACGCCCGGCCCTGGTGTTCCTGCCGAAACGGGCTTGGGAGAAGAGTGCGAGAAACAGCAGAAACCCAAAACGGTCCTTTCTGTGCCCGTCGGGGCGCCCGTGGCCGGCTCAGCAGCGGCCCGACTTGCTTGAACTTTTGCTGAGCCTCTGGGTGCCGCTGCCCTCCACGGCCTCCTCTGGCAGCGGGTGCCGCGGGCCGCGTCCTGCGTGGAAAAAGGGGCCTGAAGGCGGAGCGGTGGTTCCTGCGCCTCGTGTAAGTCCCGACCTGAGCTGCTTCCCCCCTCCAGGGCTCCCCTGTGCGGCCGGGACACAGCTTTCTGCGAGACGGGGCGTCCCTGGGCATGTTCCGGGAGCTGATGGTGGTGATCCGCATCTGGGGCCTATTGAAGCCAAGCTGCCTCCCTGTCTACACAGCGACCTCCGACACCCAGGACAGCATGTCCCTCCTCTTCAGGCTCCTGACGAAGCTCTGGCTGTGCTGTAAGTGTTTGCCGGTTGCCCTGAACAAAAGATTCCTTCCCTGACGTGGATTGTGTGCGTGAAAGGAGTAATTGCAGGGAGTAGCTTTGAGTGGGTCTGTCGTGTTTAGAAAGGGCAGGTGCAGCTGCCAAGTTTATTGTTTGCTGTGCCGTGTTGGCGGCTGGAGGAGGAACCGCACGCGATTCGCTCGGTCTCTAACTGAGAAGGTGAAGCTCACGCTGGTTCTCTCTCTGCTCCATTTTCCGCGCAGGTCGTGAGGAAAATCACATAACGGAGCCAGACGATACCCTGATAGACGAGTGCTGCCTCCTGCCCAGCCAGCTGCTCATCCCCAATATCGACTGGCTGCCCATCAACGACGGCATTATCAGCAAGCTGCAGAACAAGCAGCTTGTCCGGCTGCAGTTTGGGAAAGCTCCCGGGCTCGTTGGTCACACTGTCTCTTCCCAGTTTGACGCCTTTGTCAGGTACAGAGGCCCGGAACAAGTAGGTGGTGTGGGGAGGAGAGGGGATGGGGCGGCTTTGGCGTCCCTTTGCAGCCCTGAGAGGTCGGGGGGTTGGGCCGCCTGTGGCTTTTGGCTCATCCGCTGGCTGGTGTGACCCAAGAGCCCTTTGTCCTCTCTGCCCGAGTTCATTTCTCGCCTCGCAACGGGCTGGGAGTTTAAGGGTCAAAAGGAGATGGCAAGGGGAGGGGGAAGAAAAAAGCTGGTTTGTGATGAGGTTCGTGCCAGCGTGGCTTTGGGTCTGACTAGTGTCAGAGCCCGTGTCCTGTTGAAACGCGGCCCGCGCTGTCCTGGGAACAGCTTTTGGCAAGTGCCCGCCTAGAAACGGTCCCGTCCTCCCTCCTGCCCAGGGCGCCTGGACAGCCCAAAATCGACCACCTGCGGCGGC